GTGGGGAGTTGGAGGTCCCAGGCAGCTGGGCACCCCCTTCTGTGCCAGGAGGCCCTCAAGTGAGGGGGGGCTCAGCCAGACCCCAGCAGTCCTCAGAACCTACTCCGAGTCCTACACATAAGCACACCCGAGTTTGTAAGAACCCCCCCACACAAACAGTAGCTACAAAAACTCACAACTACATACACACACCCCATGCATGCACACATAAGCACACAATCAAATAAATTCACAATCACAAACACACAAGCACACCCAAACCATAGACACCATCTCTCTCTCTCTGTCTCTCCAACACCCACCCCTCAGCCATGCAAACACGGACACACAGTCACATGAACTCACAAGCACACAATCACACACATACACACCCCAGGCATGCAAACACATGGGCACATGACCACAAACATACATATACCATCATACCCAAGCTACATGCATCATTATACATAGGCATGAACATATACATACACACACATTTCCACGCACACAGGCATACGGTCACCCCCAAAATGGAACCAACTACTTAAAAAATTTTATTGATCTGAGAGAAAAAACATCGACTCCTTGTTCCACCCACTCAAGCATTCATTGGTTGATTTCCGCATGTGCCTTGACCCTGACTGGGGATGGAACGCACCACGCTGGCATACACTGACATATTGGGAGGATGCTCCAACCAACGCGGCCAAGGCTAGAACCAACTACTTCTCATAAAACACCCCCACCCCCGTATGCAAACATTGACCCACAAATTCGCACACAGCCCCACTGACTCTCAGATGTCCTCACACTCAAACACCCTAAAGAGCACCTTCACTCACCATCTCACACGCACACACTACAATCTTATTCTGCCCATCCTTGACGGTTTACAGAAGGGGAAACAGGCCATGAGGGGATGAAGGCCCCATGAAGGAGGATGTCCCTTCTGACTCAAGACATAGGCTGCAGCCGGGCGCCCCCTGCCGGCCTGGCTACTCCAAGAGCGCGCGGGGAGGCGGCGTGCGGAGCGGGCACGCGCCTGACGTAACCATGGCATCCTCTTGGCACGCGCGGCCCGGGCGGGGAGGGCGGGGCGGGCGCGTTGCCATGGCGCCGAAGGGCCGCGTGAATGGGGCATTGTTTGCGGCGGCGCCCAGGCCTAGCTGTCCCGGACCCACCCGGACCCACCCGAGCCAGCAGAGACTGCGAGAGACAGAGATAGGGAGAGACAAAGATGGAGAGAGACGACAGAGGGAGGGACGAGAGATGGGAGCGACAGAGTTGTAGATGGAGAAAGAAAGGCACTTAAAAGCCAAGAGGAGGAGACAGAGAAGTGAGAGAGACCTGTGAGATGAAGAGAAATGCACCAATGAGGAAGCACGGACAGAGGGACAGAACCGAGGAAAGACAGAGGCGGGAATTAAGATGGAAGACGAAAGGTGGGATGGGAGATAGGGCAGGACCAGCCAGCCAACAACCACGAAGCCTACTGTGCCTTCACTTACTTGGCAATGGGACTAGGCAGAGGACCAGGACCCCGAGACAAAGTCAGAGATACTGAGAGATAGGAGGAGACCCAACCATACAAAACTCAGCAAGACGGAGGGTCAGAGGTACCAGGAAAGGAATGGAAGAAGTACACCGAGTGTCTCTGGTCCCACCTACCTCCATCCTTCTTCCACTCCCCTCTGGACAACGTGCAGCCCCCAGTATGATACTCTTAGAAGGCACACCTCTGTCCTACACATCTTCACACACCCACTGACAAGACATAGTCGACACAGGGACCTAGTCTTGGGGACACTGTCCCAGACACTCCGAGACACCCTTGTGGACCCAGTGACATCTACAGATACACCCACAGATACCCAGTGACACAGGCATGTTCAGCTGGACACACCCATATGACAGGGACTTCTATTTTATACCAGAGGGCCACAGGTATAGATACAGCCCCATAGATGTACTGTCACATGAGGACCCTGCCAGACATGTGGTCACAGTCACACATGGCCACACACCACACAGGTTCACACTCCACAAAACACTGCCATATGTGGCCACCCCAGACATACGGTGCACTCTCACACCTGCCCACCCATCAACACCGTCCCATGACACACACGCTCTTTCCTGCATTTGACTCAACGACTTGGCACCTTGGCCCCTGGCCCAGACTCAGTGGTCTATGGGGATGCTGGGTCCAGTTGTCCATGTTTGACAGACATCAGTCACAAGCCCCGATGGGAAGGGGAGGGGAGGGAGGTGAAGCACCGCCTCCTTCCTCCTCAAAGGGCTGGGTCAAACCAGGCCAGGGTGGTCCCCAACTCCTGCCTTGGTCAGCTGGGCCCAAATCTGGACCAAGGGTGTCCCCTGGTGGCCATTTGTGGTCTCTGCACCCACCCGGTCAGGGGTGGGGGGCGGGGCAGGCGGGGAGCCCAGTGGCCCAACCTGAATGGAAGGGCAGAGAGGACAGGCCCAAGCTCAGCACCCAGAGCCCCAGATACTGGAAGCCAGGGTCGGTTAGCTAGATTCCAAATCCCAGAATCCAGAATCCAAATCTAGATTCCTGGATACCAAGATCTATAATCCAGATACAAGAACTGGGGACCCAGAATCTAAATGTCCAAAATCCAGAACCCTAAAGTATAGATCCTGTCTTCAGAATTTAGAATTGAAGACCTAGAATCCAGATCCAAGAACCCGGAGCCCAGAATTCCCCTCAGCCAGCCCCTTGCCTTCCCAGAGCCCCCAGATGATGAGAGCAGGACAGCAGACGTTGGTGAGGGCAGGAGCAGACTAAAGGGGCAGGAGAGACGCCCTGCAGTGACCACGCAGAGCCTCTCCCAGCTGCCGCCCCTCTGCGTTAACACACATGCATGCACGCACGCTTCAACAGTCTCTCATAGGGCCCCACACGCCCAAATAGATAGCCTGTGACCATCAGACGCACAGCACCACATGCTCGGAGGCATACACACAGCAACACACATACCCCCTGACCCTATCACCCAAAGACACCTGGACCTGCCATTGCTCCTCTCCCAGCGTGCAGACACACGTCTTTTGTGTCCACATGATCTCGGAGCTGCCTGCCCCCAGCCATCCCATCAAATTCAAACACATGACCACCGTACCCAGAGACACAGAAACACCCAGATTCCCAACCCTGCATCCAGACATGCTCACAGAATTGTGCAGGCTGACAGGCACACACACATACACACACACAAACTCCCCTAGACGAGGAGAAGCCCCACGACTTGGCAGCCACACAGCCCCTGGGAACAGGACCCCTGGGACAGGGCTCACCGCACACCCCCATGCCCACCCCAGCCCTCCCCATCCTGGCCGGCTGGCGGGCTTTAATACAGATGCCAAACTCATAATTGTAACTGAGGGTGACAGGGTCACCTTGAGCCCCAGATGCTCACGCAGTGACAGATGGCGTTGGCAAACCTGATTAGCAGCCCCTGTGCCAGCGCCTGTGGCACCTGCATCCCCGCCCCTCCCCTGCTCCCTCAGCACTCATTACCCACCCATTAATGGGCCTGGAGAGTAGGGGTGGGAGGCCGGTTGGCACTGCCCGGGGGGGTAGGGACACACGGGGCCCCCCTGGCACCAAGGTTCCCAGCTGGCTCCCCGGCTGGCAGGAGGTGGGCACAGCTGATGGGGGTAGAAGAAGGTGTCTCATATGCCTGCCAGAGAGAGGGGTGCCCACGGTGCCAAGGCTGAGCTACCCATTCAGATACTGCCTGAGGTTTGGCACAGCACCCTGGAGGGAGAGTACACCCCTGCCCCATGGGCCACTCATGACCTCCCCCCATCCCATCCCAGGACCTTGGTGCAGGGCCTTGGGAGCTGCCTGCCTGGCCTGTTCCCACCCCTCTGTGCTGGCCTGTGAGGGCAGAGGTCATGGGCTCCCACGCCCCACTGGCCCATCTGTTTCCTCGTGTCCCCTCCTCCTGCTCCCCTCACCTGGGGCCTTCCTTCCTGAGGCAGGAAGAGGGCTGAGGGGGGCCTTGGCCGCCCCCCCCCGCCCTGCGCTCCGGGGAGCATTTGGAGGCAACCCTGACAGCGCCACATGTCCCTGCGTCTGTGCCAGACGGGCCCATCTGCTAGGGCCCTGGTTCCAGACGCCCAAAGCCAGGCTGCCCTGGTCCACTGCAGACCCTGTTCCCAACTGGGGAGGGGGCACTGCCCCCCGTGCCCCACCCCCCGCCCCCTGCCCACACTCTGCAGGGCCACCCACTCCCGGGGAACTCCGGTTGGAGGAACAAACACACACAAACACACACGATGCACAACTGGGCTCAGCCAGCCTTTATGGTTCCTGCAGAATGCCACACTGGGTGTGGGGCTGTGTGGAGACTTGGGGGGTGGCTGGAGCACGTGGGTCCTGCATCTGACTCAGGGAGCCCAGGTTTCCCCCAAGAGCTACATCTGCCTTCCTGTCCTGGTTTCTTGGAGTCCCTAGGGCAGGGTTGTCACCGGGTCTCCGGGTCTGGGTGGGTCCCATCTGTCATCCCTGCAGTTGGGGGTGCACCTTTGACTCATTCTGTGAGAAGAAGTCTAGCCTGGTGGTTGAAAAGAGGTATCACACTGCCTTGGTTTCAAAAGCTCTCTCTGCCACATACTGTTGTATGACCCTGAGCTAGAGGCTTTGCCTCTTAGGGCCTCTGTTTCCTTTCCTGTACAATGGGGTGATACCTGCATGTCATTGGGCAGCTCTGAGGATGACACAAGTAAGTACATGTCAAACACTAAGAGCTGGGCCTGGCCAACACTGAGTGCCTAACAAGTGTGTGCTGTCTCTGAGTGGTCCGCCTCTATGGCTGGACCTGCGTCTGGTGTCCCTGGGAGCAGGGTGAGGACTCAGAAAGCCCATCTGGCTTTCCCTGCATCCTTGGTTTCTTTGACCCAGTGTACATAACCCAGGTCGGCGTCTTTCTCAGCCTGACTCCCCACAGCTCTCCGAGGGGCGTGCATCTGTGTGTCAGTCCGTGATGCTCAGCTCACACCTTCGGGCTGCACCGACATCTCTCGACCAGCAATGTGGATGTCTTCACCCGCTGACGAGAGACTGGGCTGCCCACCCAACACCACAGGAACACGGCTGCCCAGCGCCTTTGAGTGGGCACACAGCTGTTGCAGAGGACATGTGGGGCAGAGTCCACGCCAGGGACGTAGAGTGAGGAGCAGTGGCCAAAGCAGAGGTGATTACGGAGACGCATGGTCATGCATCCCGGCTGGGAGAGCACCTGGGGCCAGAGACAGAGAGACAGGTCAAGGGCACTGGAGTCTGAGGCTAGAGTAGTGAAAATAATCGCCGATCCACTTCCACCCCACCTTGAAAAGCATGGTTGCCTGGGCTCAAAGCCTGACTGCCATCTGCTGGCTATGTGACTTGGGGTAAATTGCTCAACCTCTCTGGCCCTCAGTTTCTTTGCCTGTGAAATTATCAAAGTTCAATGGGTCAAGGGGTGGGTGGTAGGGAGTGGAACACTCTAGACCTTTCAAAGGAGAGGATTAATACAGAGAAGGGCTGAGGAACAGCAGGAAGGGGTAGCATTACAGGAACCTGGGGGGGATTACAGAGAAAGCCTTTAGCCTATGACCTGGCACACAGTCAGTGCTCAAAAGATGTTATTCCCTCCTATGGTCCCCTCCTACTAAGTGGATCTATCAACTCACCTTCTAATCCTGGCCCTTCTCTATTAAAATTGTGCCCTCCCACCTCTGCCCTCTGCCCCCACCTTCCCCCTCACTTCGCCCCAGCCACCCCAGCCTCTTGCTCCGAATTACAAAGAAATCAGCAGTAAAGGCAGACTTCGGTACACCTGACTTCAAAGCCTGAGCCATGAACAACACATGACATGAATTCCTATAGCCTTTATGGAGCACCAGCTGAATGCATCTGTGAGAGTGCTGCCCATACCCCTCTCATTCAGGCTGCCCAGGAGAGTTAGGACACATTCCACTATCGTTCATCATTCAACAAACACGGAGCTCCCACTGTGTGCCTGGCTCTGCTCTCAGGCCTGGGGATGAGGATACAGAGGGAATAAGGCATAAAAATTCCCTCCCTGCTGGAACAGACATTCTACTGAGGAAGACAGGAAAAGTGCAATTACAGAATCAATTTCACTTTCTAGGTGATGATGTGTGCTACAGTGAGAAATAAAGCAGAAAAAGGGGCAATGGGGTGACAGGTGCTGCATTTTTAAACCACATTTGAGTAAAAACCTGCAGGAGGTGGAAGAAGCAGCCCTAGAATGTCAGGTGGGGAGGGGGAGTGCTAAAGGCAAAGGAACAGCCAATGGGATACAACGCTGGTGTCTTGGAGAAAGTAAGAAGACAGGTATGGCAGAGGCAACATGGGCAAGGGGGAGATGGGAGGTGGTGAGAGCAGGGAAGGGACAGCCAGATGGTGCAGGGCCTTGTGGGCTGCAGGAAGAACTTGGGCTTTTGCTCTGGGTGAGGTGGGAGCCATGGAAGGTTCTGAGCAAAGGAAGGACCTGACTCAGGAGCTCCCAGATGTCTTCTGCCACTAAATGGAAAAATAGACTTGGGGGACAGGGTAGTGTTAGCAGAAGCCGGGAAACCAGGATAAGGGCAACTGCTTTGGCCGTGGTGGGAGAAACTTAACCCCCATTTTGTAAGGGAGGAAACTGAGGATCAGAGACAGGTAAAGAACACAGGGCTTGATTCCAAATCTGGCGCCGCAGCCTGAGCTCCCTGCCAACGCTGAGACCCAGCTCTCACCTTCCCCCATCCACATACTCACCTGAGTGAAGGGCACAGCCTTGCACATCTCCTGGGCCACTTCCTGCGGGTTCAGTGGGAGAGACATGGTGGCAGCCACCTGCTGCCTACGCTGCAGCCCACCTGTCCCCATATGCCCAGTTTTCTGCAGGTCCAAGAAAGCCTTCCAGCTGCTGAGGGCAGAGGATGGTACTGGGGAGACCAGGGCCCCTTGGCCCAGAGTTTGGGTCTGATTGGCAGCAGCTGCGGGCTGGGGTGGGGGACCCTGGGGTCCAGGCCTCCCCAAGCCTCTGGGTAGCCAGGCTCCACTGAGCAGGCTCAGGAGAGTGGTCAGCTGGCTGAGGAGCATCTGCCTGTCTGTTGGGGACTGGGCTCAGGGTTTCAGGCAGTTGACCCTGCTGTCTGGTGAGTGCAGTCTGTGCCTACAAGACCCACTTTTAATGGCCTGCCCCCCACCTGGACAGCCTGGGAGGCACCTCTGCAAACTCCAGAGTAAACCCAGACCTGCTAGGTTCCCACCCCTCCCCCCAGCCTGGCAGGGGAGCTGGGGGCTGGGGCTGCTGGTGTGTGGGCTGGGGGACCAAGAAAGGCAGGTGTAGAGACAGGGGCTTGGGACATAATGCCAAAGTCCCTGAGGGATCTGTACCAGGTTTTGGGGGTGGGGGCATTCATCCATTTAGCAAAACCAGGCTTTGAAGTCAAGCTACTCAGGTTTCAATCCCAGCATTGCAACTTCCTGGCTGGGCAACCTTGGTCCATTCCCTTAACCACTCTGGGCCTCAGCTTCCTCTTCTGGAATATGGAGATAATACCAGTCCCTACCTGTAGGGTTGTTCGGAGGACTCAAGGAGATAATTTATGTGAGGAGTTTAAAATAGAGGCTGGTATACAGTAGCACCATGTAGTAGCTACGATTAACATTATTGCTGTTGGTTTTCCTTTAGCACCCGCTAGAAGCGGTACGTAATTCTGAGCCCTGAAGATACAGGCGGACAAAACAGAAAGTGGCTCCTCCCTGTCTTATGTTGTAGAGCAGAAAACGGACAAGATAAATAAGATGATTTCAGGGTCTTAAATGGTAAGGAAATATTAAAAAGGTCTGAAGGTGTTTTGGCGGGCTGCAGGTGTGGGAGGGGTCTCAGCTCCCTGGGTGGTCAGGAAAGGCCTCCCTGAGGAGGTAACATTTTTGCAGAGCCCTGAGAGTGTCACAGGCAAAGCAAACAGCCTCGTGGGGAGTGAGAGATTGGAGTGTTTGAAGCACATAGGGTTGGGAGTTCCAGGCTTTGGGGCTCCGAAAGCATCGGGGGGGCCCGGCCGGTCTCTGGCACCTCTGTGGCCCACATCTCGCACCCAGGTGAGGCACTGCAGGCCGTGGGCCGTGGGAAGCGGCAGGGCAGGTCCTTCCCGCGCACCAAGAGCTGTTCAGGTGGTGGGGCGCGCTCGCCCTCTGGCGGCGGCTCTTGGGACTTCGTGCCCGGCTCTCGGGACTGGCATCATAAACCCCCCACCAGGTGCGGAAGCACCTCTCATTAGTCCTGCTACATCTGAGCTCCTGAGCGTCCCCTAACCTGTCCTATCGCTGTCCTCTAGACCCAGGTAACGGCAGTTCCGTCCTACCAGGTACCAGAGCCCCAAACTTTGGAGCATCCTTGACCCCTCAGTTTCTCTGACCCCTGTGCTCCCTAATTTGAAATGACAGCAAGTTCTGTCTGCCTCAAAATCTACCAAGAAAAAAAAAATCTACCCAGAATCTGCCTACTCCTCACTCCCTCCTTGGCCCCCCATCTGGACACAGCCCGGCCTCTATTTTCTCCCACTTGAACCACTATAGTCCCTCTGCCCTGGTCCCACAGCTCCCACCCCCAAATTCTGTCCCCGCCACAGCAGCCAGAAGTTGCCCTGAGTCCGGGCATGTCCATCTTCTGCTCAGAACCCTCCAGGGCTCCCACCTTACTCAGGATAACAGCTGAAGTCCTCACTGCAGCCCACCAGGGCTCACACTGTCTGCGCACCTCCCTACCTTCGTCTTTCCCCACTCTCGCCCCCTCAAGCCACATGGGTCTCCTCAATGTTTCCCCAACTCACCAGGAATAAGCCCCATAATACTGCTCGGCTGTACATGGCTGCACATGCTCTTATAGTTTCAACACGGAAAGATACCCAAGAAAAATGAAGTTAAAAATTTTTCAGAACACAGTGTCTATTATATACCCTGACCTTTTAGGGGAGGGGAATAAGAATTTACAGACACAGTTTATTCGATTTGAATGTTAAAAAGAAACAACATTATTTTCCTGTTGTAGGGACGTGAAAATGGGTGGATGAAACAGGCAGTGAAAGGGGAAGCTTCACTTTCAAGTTTAAAATTGTTTTAATCATGGATAAAGAAACAAAAAAGGGGGGAAGCACTAATGAAAGCAATTTATACCTTTTTTTCTGCTCCTTGCCCTTGAAGTGAATTATTTTGGGCATTCAAATAAGTATAGATAAAAATATAACAAAACCTGCTGTACTAATTACCCCAACCAGGAAATAAAGACTACAGATTTGAAAGAAACTCGCTCTATACTTGTCCCTAACCCCTGAATTTGCCATTGTAATCCCTGTGACTGTATCCATTCACAAAAGATACATAAGATTGTTTTGTGTATTTTAAATTTAATATGCATGGTATCGTACTGTACAGAGTCTAACTTTCACCTGCACTCTACTTCGTGCTCTGGCCTTTTCACTGTGGAAGAGTATTCCACTGTACATACACACCCTAACTTTATCCATTATCCAAATTTTAACTATCACATTCCTGCAAAGAATGTTTTGAAACATGACTCTTTTCCACCTGGATTTTTACACTGACTCCATATCAGTGGCTCACATTCCTGGCTGCACATGAGCGTCACCTCTAAGTGGGGAATTGTTGTCCAGACCCTGCTCCAGACCAATTATGCTGGAATCTCTAGGGATGGGCCAAATGCATAGTGTTTTTATTTTTTAAATATTTTATTTATTTATTTTTAGAGAGAGGGGAAGGGCGGTGGAAAGAGGGAAATATCAATGTGTGGTTGCCTTTCGCGCACCCCTACTGGGGAACTGGCTCGCATCCCAGGCATGTGCCCTGACTGGGAATCCACCCTGCAACCCTTTGGTTTGCAGGCCAGCACCCAGTCCACTGAGCCACACCAGCCAGGGTTGCATAGTGTTTTTAAAAAGCATCCCCCAAGGCCTTGACCAGTGTGACTCAGTTGGTTGGGTGCACTCCCACAAAGCGAAACATCACCAGTTCAATTCCAGTCAGGGCACATGCCTAGGTTTCAGGTTCTGTCCCTAGTCCCGGTTCCAGAGCGAGTGAGAGGCAACCAATCTATGTTCCTCTCTCACATTGATATTTCTCTCCCTCCATTTCTCCCTCCCTTCTCCTCTAATAAAAAATATTAAGCACCCCAGGGTTGCTTTGAACACCTGGGCTATGTTATTATACACAGCAGCAGGTCTCAAACTTGAGGCTGCCTCAGGGTTGCCTGGAGGGCTCCCACACAGGGCCCACCCATAACATATCAGAGTCTGCGATGGAGCCTGAGACCCTGCATCTCTAACAAGTTCCCAGGTGGTGGTGCTGGTGCTGCTGGCTGGACACCACTCTTTGAGAATCATGACATAGAGTGCCTTTGTTCTTTTTTCACATCTGTGTAGTATTCCTTCCTGTGAATATTCAGTCATTTCTTTAACAAGTCCTCTATTCTTGGATATTTAGGTTACTTTCCATCTTTGGCTACAAGAAAAACAATCCCCTACAATAGAATATCATTCAGCTATAACAACCAATGAAGTACTACATTGCATTAATTTGCTAGGGCTGCCATAATAAAGTAGCTGGGGGGCTTTAACAACAGCATAAAGACGGTGGGGGGGAGGCTTTTAGCAACAGAAATTTATTGTCTCATGGCTCTGGAGACTAGAAGCCCAAGATCAAGTTGTCAGCAAAATTGGTTTCTTCTGAAGCCTCTCTCTTTGCTTATAGATGGCCATCTTTTATTATTATTATTTTATTTATTGATGAAAGAGAGAGTGGAACATCAATTTGTTATTCCATTTACTTACGCATTCATTGATTGCTTCTTGTATCTTCCCTGACTGGGGATCGAATGCACAACCTTGGTGTATCAGGATGATGCTCTAACCAACTGAGCCACCCAGAGATGGTCATCTTCTCCCTGTGTCTTTACACATGGTGTTTCCTCTGTGTGTGTCTGTGTCCAACTTCCCTCTTTTTTTATAAGGACATCAGTCATGCTGGATTGGGGCTCACCCTAATGACCTCATTTTAATTCAATTACTTCTTTAAAGACCCCATTTCTAAATACGGTCATATTCTGAGGTGAGCACTGAGGGTTTGCATTTTAACACATGAATTTTAGGGGGACACAACTCAGTCTGTAACAAGCACTGATACATTTAGTTACCACATGGATGAACCTCAGAAACATACTAAATAAAAGAAATCTAGACACAAATGGTCACATATTGTATGACTCCATTTATATGAAATGTACAAAATTGGCAAATCCATAGAGATGGAGACTATATTAGTGGCTTCCAGGGACTAAAGGCAGGGGGAATTGTAGTGACTGCTAAAGGGTATGAAGTTTCCTTTTGGAGTGATGAAAATGTTCCAGAATTAGATAAAAGTGGTGGCGGCTGTACAACATTGGAAATGTACTAAGTGCCACTGAATTTTTCCCTTTAAAATGATTAATTTTAGCCTTACTGGTGTAACTCAGTGGATTGAGCATGGACCTGGGAACCAAAGGGTCGCCAGTTCCATTCCCACTCAGGGCACATGTCTGGGCTGCAGGCCAGGTCCCCAGTAGGGGGTGTGCAAGAGGCAACCACACATTGATATTTCTATCCCTCTCTCCTTCCCTTCCCCTCTCTCTAAAATTAAATAAATAAATACATCACATTTGAAAAATGATTAATTTAGGCCCTGGCTGGCGTAGCTCAGTGGATTGAGCACGGGCTGTGAACCAAAGTGTCGCAGGTTCGATTCCCAGCCAGGGTACATGCCTGGGTTGCAGGCTATAACCCCCAGCAACCACACATTGATGTTTCTCTCTCTCTCTCTCTCTCTCTCTCTCTGTCTCCCTCCCTTCCCTCTCTAAAAATAAATAAATAAAATCTTAAAAAAAAAGAAAAATGATTAATTTTATGTGTGTGGATTTTACTTCAATCTAAGGCCAGCCCTCAGAAGCCCCTCTCCAATGACCACTTGGTACTGGCTGTGAGTCCAGCCCTGGCCAGCAGCTGAAACTCATCCCAGGCTAGTTGTTTTTTTTTTTATTGTTATTCAAG